TGGAATTGGTTTTAATGTTCAAGAAAGAATAAAAATATTGGAAACCATTTTTATTACCTTTTTGTGGGAAGCCTGAATGGCTTCTTTGAAGGCAGAATTATGGTTGACATTTTGACTTTTCTTGGAGGAGAAAAAAATTGGTACACTAAAAGAGTTCTGATCTCTCCTTGAAGATGAGGTTCGTTTATTTTCATTCTGTTCAAGAGAAGTTAAATCCGTGTAGAAATCTGTTTGCAAATCATCTTCTTCAGTTTGTACCTGGAGAAAAATCCGTATGAATTAAAACACAATTTAGGAAATAGTGGAGCAACTTGTGAATATCTAATGCAATGATCACTCATTCACTTATGCTTCGTTATACGCTTACGAGGATGCATTTTACTGGAGAACAAAGAATAATTTTAGTCCCTGCACTCAGGAAGTTAATGGTTTAGTTAGGAAAAGAGATGATCACAAACATTTAATTCAAAATGGTAAGTGTTGTGCTGCCAATGGGATCCTATAGATAAATATGAGATGCAGAAAGACAATATCAAGAAAGTCTTCCTGAAAAAAATGATACCCAAGCTGAGATTTAACTGGATGATAAGCAATGGGAATTATTTTTAGTCTGCCTGTGATTCTGACACAGTGTAAATCTAATTTAGGGTGCCTTTCAGAAAACAGATGCTTAGAAACGGGGAGGGCAGATGCTGTTTGATCCTGCCCTAGTCCCATTTCCACTCCCTTAGCATTGTTGAGATCCTGGGCTTTAGTACTCTACTGGCCACAGCTGTGAGACAGAGGATAAATAATTGAATGGTTCTGCGTGGTGGGTGGTTGACAGTCTTCATCAACTCCACCTCGAAAGAAGAGAAAAAACAGCCAGTGAGACTCGACTTAAGCTGTGAGTAGAGCAGAATATTTCCCAAGAACAAGTCAAACCCCTGTTATGGTTACGCTGGTAAGAGGAGAACAACGGATGAATTTAATAAACAAAATAGCAAAGTAAATTGATTGATGAGTGTGTTAGGTCCTCGACTAACATCTTTGTTCAACGTTGTTTCCTTATAACACTGATGAGAAAAAACTGATTCCCGCTGAGCCACTATCTACATTGAGTTTTTACATTCTCCCCATGTTTGAGTGGGATTTCTCTGGGTACTCAGGTTTCCTCTCACATCCCAAAGCTGTGCACAGGTGGTCTCAGTCTGAATGTGGGTATGAATGTAAATGTATCCAGTGATGGGATGGCATCCTGTCCAGGGCTGGTTCCCACTTTGGCCCTGAATTGC